ACCGACGCCAGGTGGCCACCGCATATCGTCCGCACCCCCTGATGACAGTACTTTTCACTCCATTTGCCCGACCCATGACCTATGCTCACCCCCCCCTTGCCCAGCGCAATGACCCCTGCAGACCGACCTCGCCATGCGAGCGGCATGAAAACGATGAGTTCTAATGACAAGACACTTACTAACCCTGCCCAACTGTACGATTTTCACTATTCCTGCAATTGCACCAGCCCAATTATGAATTGCCGAAAACATATGTCTACCGAATAAACTTTTCCAGTTAAACATAGGAATATATTATGAATAAAATGATAAAGACCTCTTCTTCATTCCTGGTAGCCTAGCGTTCGTTCGATTTTGGATAAAGTGTGCTTGTCCATCAACTTCCAGGCAAGGAGATGCGAGTTATTTTGGCGTTGTCGGTGGGGATTTCTCTCTTGTGCCCGCAAACCTGACTTAACGTGTCAATGCCGACTTTACGGGAGGTGTGAACTACTCAAGGTCTGGCAAAACAAAGTCCAGGTCTAGTGCTTTTGCTTGTCGGGTGCACCAAAATGCCGATGATTTTCATGCATGTTAGCAACATGCATATTCAGGTTTATTAGCCAGCGTACTTGACGTGGTTGTCATAGGCCAGGAATTCGTTCGTGTCCGATACGGTCCAGACAACATGACATACGACCAACGGTCGGACGACAGATAGGATCTTTTGGTCAGTATTCGCGACAGTTGCTTGTCTTATAGATTGGCAGTGTGAGTTTTCCGAAGCAAAGCATGACAACTTCCTCATGCGCACTGTCTATATTCTTATTATGGATGACGTTCACTCCATTCTCGGTGTCGGAAAATGTTATAACGGAGGCCCAGGCCGAGATATTACGTCCCCAAATTGTTGTAAGGGAGGCCCAGGCCAAAATATTCGCCGTCTAGTTACGCCTCATGTGAGCACCCAAAGAGCAAACACGACAGGAAGTGTGCAGAACCGAAAGTCCTTGAGTGTTCTATGTACAACAAAGTTAGGGAAACAAACGTATGTCAACGATGTTCCTTGAGTCAATAAGATTCTCTCCTGAGGTAGTGGCCAGTCCCATTGGCTGTTGGCTGAGTGAGTGAATGTAGCTAGAGATTCAAATTATCGATTGATTGTCTAGCTCGAAGTGTTAGCTCACGCATAGCCCGATCGATAGCCTATTGTAGACGCGGCTATGGTTTGCAAACTACAGCTTGCGAAGGCTGTTGTTAGGCCGCCCTAATAGACAGTGTCGCAATTAAGTCTCACTGGGATGCCAACTTGCAGGCTAAAGTATTCCCTTTCTTTTTTGCTTTCTATCCCTTCTAACAAATAGTTTTGCGTCATAAATGGACTTAAAGGAGGTTATTTTTCTAAAACTTTAGGTAAAAGGAATCAAGCGCGTGCCAGTCAGAAGCGGACAAGTAGCAATCTATCGCGGATGAGCGTTGCCAGTGCAAGGGCCACTAAAGCCAACGTTGAAGGAACTGCGAGGTACTTTGGGAGTCTCTGCATGAGAGTTAACTATAAGTACTTTTGACAAATATATGTTTTCAGTTGACCCAATTGTGAAAAACTCGCGGCCTCGGTGGGAGTCGAACCCACACAACAGGAGAGGCTTTTGCGTAGCCAATGCTCTACCATTGAGCTACGAGGCTCACCGTGAGCCCTGAATTCAATCACACTTGGCTCGATTTGCTTGCCAAATTACTGCATGGCAGTCAGTCTACTGTATCCGTGTAGGAATCTTTCGCCCAGAGCAACTGCGCTGATTTACACTGCCTTTTTTCGCCAAGCCTCGTTCGCTGCGCGCTATTGTCCTTTCGCGCCCGATGTCAACTC